AAATGGGTCGCACTGTAGTTGGGTAACCAACGTAGTGGAATTAGCTGCTTCCATGTACTAGAGTACTAGAAGAGCTGCTCCTTACAATTATAAGGGACAACAGCTGGTTAATTGCGCTGCACCAGGCTTATGAGAATAGAAAGGACCGGTACTAGTCTAGTTAATAAGTCAACTGTACCGGACTAGTACAATTTGGAAGGAATAGAAATAATATGTAATGTAATAGTATTAGTAGACTAATTAATAACCCCACTCACTTATTGTATTTCTGTAAAATAGGTAAGGCTAACAGGTTTGTATGGTAATCTCTGGGGGAAGGAATCCTAGAGGGATAGGCTTCCTCCTTAAGTATTACAGAACAGAGGTCAGTCTGCTTGCAGGACCGGTACAGTCCCCATAAGGTTATGTTATTTCTTTGGGGAGAAATGTCAAGATATTCTAAGAAGATTAAAGTCCATGTGAGGAAAATCTCTCTTATTTCAGAAGATACACCTAAGAGAGATAAACTCGACTATAAGTATTTTCAACAGAGATACACAGGATAAATCTCTTTGATAATCATAAGAGATAATTATCCTTTCCAATCTGAGTATAACTTTCAGGAAATGGGTAAATTAATAAAGAGGTAAATCTTTATAATACATACAAAAGAGAATAACATTACTTTATACTTATTAAATTAAAAATTACATATAATAATAATTTTTATGTAACCCAAAGAGGTTACATTCTATTGTAGACACCTGGGCTAGTGTCTCAGTGTCTGACAATGGGGCTACCTCCAGATGCCAAGTGAAGAATCACTAGCAAAACTAAATCAATCAAAAATTAACCCAACCACCGATATGGAAGCTTTTAAGGAGGTCCAAAAAATGACAATTCACCCTGAAATTTTATTGCAGATGGAGTAATTTGAATACCACTCTTGCATGTTCTGGGAAAAGCAAATATCAAGAATGATGAATCAATTCATTGCTTTCCCCAGTCACAAGGGTGGGAAAATAATGTTAGAACCACCTCACCTGGAAAAGATCATCCACAAAACCTTTTCTTTACATATTCTCAAGCTGATTGATAAGTCAGAAAACTAAACAGAGGTAATCACACAGGTTTGAGAAGATATACAACATCAAACCCACTTTACACCTGAAGAGTTTTGTGGAAGACTTGTGTGTTGATAAACGCACTCCTCCCCCCTCCCTGCACGCCCACGCCCCCGCCCCTCCAAAAGGGGCATGCAATCAAACCCGCCCCTCAGGGAGGGGTGGGTTTGATTGCACGCCCCTCGGAATCCTGTTTTTGAGGGAAAACAGGATTCCAAGGGGCGGGCAGACAAACCCGCCCTTCCTGACACCATAATTGGGAGGTGAAGGGAAAATAAAGTTCTACCTTCACCAGACTGTACCCCTCCTGGCCGGGAGGGGTACAGTCTTGATGGCCAGGAGGAATCGACCAGTCTCGGTGGCCGAGAGGGATTCCTCCCGGCTGTTGAGACTGTACAGTCTCAACGGTGTAAGACTCAAAAGTGGTTATGAAAACCCTTTTGCTGAATGGAGAAGGGTATGTTGGAGTTGCAAGCTCTGCCCTTCTATACTATCAGAATAACAAGACCACCAAGCTTAGCTTGGCAATTTTATATATAGTGATAGGGATAAGTTCGAGATGAAGCTGCTGATTGGTATGTG